ATGATGCTTTGAATATTATGAACATGTTTGATTCACCCATACTATCATCAAGAATTCAATGTATCTACTTGTCTTTTTTTTGTTTCTTTTTCTTTTTTTTTTTTAATGTCAAATCCTACATGCAAACAATGATGATTTTTGAACCTTTCAAAGATGTTGAAATCAATGTCAAATGCAATGATGTTTAAAACAATCATGGGTAAGATTAACGAAAAATCCTGTGAAGCACAATGGATTATATGAACAAATAATGTGATTTAACTTCCACGAGTAACAACTGCCAATTTGTCCTAGAATACAATTAAGATGCCCCTTTCATAAATTTTCTCTCTCTCTCTCTCTCTCTCTCTCTCTCTCTCTCTCTCTTTTCAACTGCCAAAACACAAACTTCTTTTCTCACTTTTTGCTTTTGAATCTTCCTCTCTTTTTTTTCTTATATTTTTCTTCTTTTTTTTTTGTTCAAAAAGAAATTGATCCCATTTTCACAAATGAGCAAATTCCTCAAGAATAGTTTTGTAAGAATTTCAAATAGTGAAAGTGCCAAGTGGAATTTTGAGTTTTTCAAAAATCAAGATTTTGGCTAGAGCAATGAAATTTTCCTCCCCATGAAATCTCAACTTGTTTGCCACATTTATTTCTAATCATCTTCCTTCTTTCTTCTTCTTTTTTTTTTTTTTAAGAAATATCATACACAAATTCAACAGCTTTCAAATTCTTTGATAAGGACTTTGAATAAGCTTGTATCATGGTCTAGGGCTTGGCTAATTAGAAAGAAAGGACATCTAAGCTCAATGATAAAATCCCTTCTGCCCCCCCTAATTTCACTCTTCACACCACAGGTTCTTGATGCAGGTACATTCAAAGAAATAATCATCCTGGCTTTTCTATTATGATGATTGCCTTTTCTTTTGGCCCAAAGTGGGTAACTAAGGCTGACTTTAGTGTTTGGGAAATAGAAACAAGGCCTTTCGTTATTGAACCTAAAAGCTCTTTAATCTGAGTATGACTTGCTATCCCTAGTTTGGTGATTGCCATCATGAAAATGTTTACAAATATCCAACCCTCAAAAAGGACTTTTATAGATTGGTATAGGGCTTAGGTATGGCTACTGAAAGAATAGTCAATATAAGCTCGAAGTACCCAATTTGCCCCCCAATTGCATGCCATGTCTTAGAGAAAACTTTATTTTCCTTTATTGGCTCCCTTATCCCCATTTTCTTCTTCTTCTTCTTCTTCTTCTTCTTCTTCTTCTTCTTTTTTCTTCTTTTTTGAGCTTCCATTTTTTTTTTTTTTTGAGCTTCTTCCTTTCTTCCTTTCAAAATAATTCTTACCAAATCTTCCAATGAAAGTAACATTTGCCCCTAGTTTGGCATGCAACAATATTCCCAGGTTGTTGAATTGGTCATGAAAGAATGTTCATTGAAATTAAGCTCAAAGTATTTAACTAAGGGTAATCTTTCAAGGTTTAAGGAATAGAGTTTCAAAGGAAGGCCTTCTTTCCTTGGATCTTCTACCATAGGCATCAAAATGATAACAATCACCTAACAAAGTTAGCAAAAATTCCACCATTTTCGTCATCTTCTTCCTTTTTTTTTTCTTTTTTGGTTTTGTGCAATTTGTGGCAATTCTTAAATATGAATCCTTGGAAAGGTTTCAATGGTAAAAATAAGAATTCTCAAGCTTTCTATCATAGGAATGTTTCAAATTTTGAGATCAATTTCTCTTTGTACATTTCTCTCATTCCCACTCATCCATTATTTTCCCCTCAATCACCTCCCTCCCTCCTCAACCTTTACTTTTTCTCAACCCTCAATTTTCTCTATAGGGTTCAACATTGAATTCAAGTTCACTAACAGTGCAACTCATGGAAATATAAAATCAAGAACTAAAGAACTGTGAATTAAAACATGAAGAACAAAGATTCAAATTGCAATATGAAGGGAGTTTGGAAAATGCAAATAAAGACTAACATGATAGACACATTTCATTCCAAAATGATAGCAATAGGGAAAAACTTCATTGTTCACTTATTCAAGCCCTCATCAGTAGCAGTTCTAAGATCCCCCTTGTTTGAATGGAATTGTAAGCGTTGGTGCCTTCAATATTAAAGGTTGTCTAGGAGTTGATGAAACTTGATTGGTGAGAGTAACTGCAGCCACCTCTTGACCTTCCTCAAAATCCTTTTCGATCATATTGACTGTTGAACTATCGTGTGTTGGTAAGGGGTTTTTAGTGATATTCGGACCAACAACCTTTGGTTCTGATGCAATCTGTAACTCCTTTGCATCTATCAGATCTTGGATACAGTGCTTTAGAGCAAAACAATTTTCAAGGACATGTCCAACACCTCCACTATGGTATTCACATCTTACTTGTGGGTTATACCATGTTGGAAATGGTGGATTTAATGGCACCATAGGTACCAGAGTAACAATTCCAGTTGCTACTAGTTTTCAAAACACTTCAGTATATGACAACGTAAGCTTATCAAAATGTCGTCTCACTTGTTGTGGATGATTAACCCCAAAGGCATAAACGGGCCTTGGTTGGCTTGTAAAAGCCGTTGATTGATGAGTTAAAGCTTGGAATCGACTGTCGAACTGCCCACGTGCTTGTTTATTTCTTCCATATGCCTCATAAATTGAGCATATAAAGCCATTCTCATCTTCCTTCTTTTGATTCTGGCCAACCTTCTTTGAACTAAAAGCCCCTGAACTATCATTTTGGTATTGTTTAAGGAGACTCTTCATTGCTTGATAATCCATGATAATTCTAGACTTGATTCCATCCTCCACTTGTTCTCCCAAAACAACCAACTGGGCAAAAGTGTAATCCACATAAGTTATTAACTTCTCACGATAAGGTCCTTTGGTTGACTTGATGAATAAATTACTTAATTCATGATCAGTTAGTGGAGGTTGAACTCGAGCAGCCAATCCACGCCATCTCTGAGTAAATTCCTTAAAGTTCTCACTTCGTTTCTTTTCTGCTTTTTGAATATCCTCTTTACTAGGAGCTAGTGATGTATTGTATTCATATTGCTTCATGAAATTGTAAGTCAAATCATGCCAACTTTTGACCTTACTTTTGTCTAAAGTAGAGAACCAAGCATCTGCAGGACCTGTCAAATTGTCTTGAAAGTAATGTATCATTAACTTCTCATTATTAGCATAAGAAGTCATCTTCCTACAATACATCGTCAAGTGGGCATAAGGACAACCAGTGCCATTGTACTTATCAGACTTAGGCAATTTAAACTTGTGAGGCAGTTGAATGTTTGGGAAAAAGCACAAAGATGAGATGTTAACTGATTTATTGGTTTGGACACCTTGCATCGATTTTAGTGTTTCCTCCATCAACTGCACTTTCGCTTAAATTGCCTTGTCTTCATTCTCTGTGATTAACTTGACAACTTGAGTCTCTTCTTGATCATTAGACTAAACTGTAGCAACACCAACATTTAGATCAAATGGCTTTGTCCTAGAAGCTCCACCAATAGTTGGATTTGGTGGGCAAGATGACATTGGCTCCTTTCTAAGAATAGATGTGGCAATAGGAAGATTTGCCAGAGAAACATTTCCTGCAAACAAGGGATTTGTTGTCAAAGGTACCCTTGTGACTAAGGTTGCTTGAAGAGATTGGAAGGAAGCCATCAATTCCTTCAAAGTACTTTCCATATTGTCAACACGATTTTCAAGCTCCCCTCTCTAAGTTAGCTTCGTCAACCATATTCCTTGTAAAAGCTCTAGTGAGAATAGGTGAACGAACTCTTGGATAATTCTTTTTAGAACCAATCTTTCAACACTTGAAGAAAATATTATTAACAAATCATGAATTTATTTATTGGTATTTTGAAAGATAAGTTCCCAAAGTTCCCATTAATGAGTAATCCTAACTTCTAATTATTTATTTTTATTTTTACACATGGATTATTCATTGTCAAGAACAACTTCAGCCATTTGTATGTAAAGGGAAGGAGAAATTAGAGCCAAGTAACTGTCATGTAGGCAAAAAACATGAGGGGATTGCCCCCTTCATGACCTTTTATATATATATATATATAT